GTGTGTGTGTGTGTTTGTGTCTGTGTGTGTGTAGGTCACAGGATGCTTGGGGTAACTGATTCTCTCATTCTGCCATATGGGTCTGGGGGGTCGAACTCAGGTAGCCAGGCTTGATGGCAGCTGTCTTGCCCACTGACCCATCTTGATTGCTCCTGTTAACTTTTTTATTTTATTTATTATTTTTATTTTATGTGTATTTGTGTATTGCCTGCATGTAGGTAAGTGCACCCATGTCGTCAATGTCTACAGAGGACAGAAGAGGCTGTCAGATCCCCTGGGACTGGAGTTATGTTGTTAGCTGCCATGTGGGTGCTGGGATTTGAACCTGGGTCTTCCTCAAGAACAGCCAGTGTTCTTAATCGCAAGCTATCTCTTCAGCCCCTGTTAATTATTTTTTAACAATGTCATCAATGTAAAACCTGACTCCAATCGATTCTTGTTCCTTTGTAGAGTTCTGTGTCTGCAACCTCTAGATTTCCCTTGTGCTTCGAACAGCCTTTCCCTGTTCATTTGACTTCAGGTATCCACCCATCGACGTGAAACTAATCACGGTAAGTTAGTTTTGCGTATTCTCTTGCACATGTAAATAGATAATGTTGTGTGGTCTTGTGTCTCACTGGGGAAGGAACACTCCTTCTTCACCGAGCAATACACAGTGGGGTTTTGCTTTTCTAATAACCACGACATTCATCTGTGTTAGGCAGCTGTGGTGGTTTGGATGAGAAACATCCCCCATAGGCTCATATATTTGAACACTTGGTCCCCATCGGCAGTATTATTTATGGGTGTTACGGAACCTTCAGGAGGTGGAACCTTGCTGGATGTATGTCTCTGGGGCAGGCCTTGAGCGCATATAACCTGCTGTACTTCTGTCTTCTCTCAGCTTCCTGTGTGTGGGTTGAAAATGTGATCAACTGGCTTCCTGCTCCAACCACTGTGCCTGCCTGCTACCAGGCCCTCCCCACCATGACGAACTCTCCTCCTGGAACCTTATGCCCGAATAAACCCTTTCTTGCCTAGGTTGCTTCTGGTTTGCTGTTTGTCATAGTAACAGAGTAGGTCTTGTCTGGTCATGCCTTCATCATAGCAAGGACCCGATACGGTGTCCACTGACGTTCATTACGAGTATGTCACCTGTGGATGGACCTTTGTGTCATTTCCTACCGTGATTATTAAATGCATTTACTTTTATGTCCTTGCAAGGATGTATGTTACCGTGTCTTTTAGGCAAATGTCAAGGCAGAATCGGCTGAGGTTAAATATGCATTTACCTTATAACCTAGCAAGTTACCATGCAGCCACCATTTTGGAGTCCTGTCAATGATTGCTATTATAGGCTTTTACATTTTGGCCATTTTGGCAGGAAATGGTATTGCATCATTATTCTTCTGACATGTACTTTTTTTGAGACAGGGTCTCATTATGTAACCCTGGCTATCCTGAAACTCATTACGTAGACCAGGCTGGCCTCCAACTTACAAAGATTTGTCTGTTTCTGCCTCCCAAGTGCTGGGAGGCATGTGCCACTACACCTGGCATCTATCTTTTCTTCTCTCTCTCCCCCCACCCCTCTCTTGTGTGTGTGTGTGTGTGTGTGTGTGTGTATGTGTGTGTGTGTATAGTGTGTATGTGGGTGCATACACTTGTGCATTCACACTTGGAGACCAGAGGTCGATGTCAGGTATCCTCCACAACTACCCCCACCTTCTTTTTCTTTTTCTTTTTCTTTTTTGGTCTTTTTGAGACAGAGTCTCCCTGTACCCCAGACCAGGATGGCCTGGAACTCACTATGTAGACCAGGCTGGCCTTGAACTCACAGAGATCTGCCTGCCTCTGCCTCCCAAGTGCTGGGATTAAAGGTGTGCTCCTCCATGCCCGGCTCTCACCTTATTTTTCAAGAAAGGCTCTCACTGCCCTCAGAGCTCGCCAATTTGGCTAGACTGGCAAGTGAGCCCCCAGGATCCCTTGTCAAGGAGCCTAGCCTGGCCTTGAAGTCACAATCCTTTGTTCCCCAGTTGTCTTTACAGTGTTACCTGAAAAGGAACACTTTTATTTTATTTTTTCTTAAGATCAGTACTTTTTGAAGAATAGAAAATTTTAATTTTGGCTGAGTACATTTATAATTTTTTTTTATGATTCGTGCTTCCAGTGTTTGTTGTAATTTTCGAGGTTCTTTGCCTTAGTTTGGAGACATAGCAAATCTGCTGGAAAGATTGTCCCTGGGCTAGGGGTGTAGGTCAGTAGCAGAGCATGTGCTGAGCGTGTAGATGACCCAGAGTCCAGTCCCTAACACCGCACATAAAAAAATCGTTTTCCTAGCCAGGCGCGGTGGCGCACCCCTTTAATCCCAGCACTCAGGTGGCAGATCTCTGTGAGTTCAAGGCTAGCCTGGTCTACATAGTGAGTTCCAGGACAGCTGGAGCTACAGAGAGACCCTGTCTCAAATAGACCAAAAAAAAAAAAAAAATCGCTTTCCTCCAGTTATTTCTGTCAAATGAAGCAATCTGGACCTCTGCTCTTTTTCTTCCTCTTCTCCCCAACTCTTTCTTCTTTGAGACAGGGTCTCATGTAGCCCAGGCTTGCCTTGCACTCCACAAGTAGCTGTGGATGATCTTCTGATCCTTCTGCCTCCACTTGCCAAGTGGTGAAGTTTTGTGTGTGTGCTACCACACCTGGCTTTTACTTTTAATCCGTCTGCTTAACGTATTGAAATATTTTCATAATGTAATTATTAATAACTTTATAGAAATACCAAACTTCTTTTATACCATTAATATATTTAATACACACACATACACACACACACACACACACACACACACAATGTACTCCAGGCTAGCCTAGAATTCTTTGGGTAGCTGGGAGTGACCTTGAACTCCTGATTCTCCTACTCCCTACTTACTGAGTGTTGGGATCTCATGAGGGGCAGTTACCTTACTGAGAGATCTGGGTTTTGAATTGTGCTTTTAATTGTTTGAATATTTCTTTCTTTCTTTTTTTTTTCGTCTTTTTAAGGCAGGGTCTCCCTGTACCCTAGGTGGCCTAAACCTCACTATGTAAACCAGGCTAGCCTCAAACTCACAGAAATCCACCTGCCTCTGCCTCCTGAGTGCTGGTATTAAATGTGTGTGCCACCATGCCTGATGAATATTTCTATACACTGTAGTTCTTTTGTGAATAGCAATAAACTTATTATATTTTATTAATTCATAAAAAGGAAAACATGCTTTTTCTTTTTTACTGAATTTTTGTGTATTTCATACAATACTCCCCCACCTGCATCCACCCACAGCCCACCCACTGGATTTCATGCATTCTGTCATACATGTTAAGGACTGTCAAGTCAAGTTTGTGTACCTAGATGTCCCTTAGTATGACTTCATCCACTGGTGCCTGGTCAACCTATCTAGCATCACTCCCTTAAAGACCAACTCTCCCTCACCCAGCATCGATCAGTTTTCAAAGTTCCTTAGCTTAGTTCCTCAGCTAAGGTTGAGGCTTCATACCCATTTCCCCAGTTCTGTACTGTGTTTTGGTCTAGTCTGAGTTTGCATGGGTCTTGTGTACACTGTCACCATTGCTGTGAGTTCATATGAGCAAAGTCCCAGTCGAATGGAAAACTTTGTTCACTGTGGTCAGCCACCACCCCTGGCTCTTAACGATCTTTCCACCTCCTCTTCTGCCATGGTCTCTGCGCCCTGGGTGGCAGAGGTTTACTATAGGAGTCCCGTCCAGGGACACGCATTCTGCAGTCTCTCATTCTCTCCATTTTGGGCAGTTGTGGCTTTCTGTGTTAATCACCATCTGTTGTATGAAGAAGCTTCGTTGGTGAGAGTTGAGAGATGCATTAACATTCTTTGTGCCCCCTGTTCTGCTGTGTTCCCTGAGCCTGAGGTATAGAGGTTACATTGTAGATGTGTCACTTAGGGCTGGGCGTATCACAAACACTTGAAAAACATTTATTTTATATTGGATATTGTTATTATGCTTCTAAAAAGTATTTGAAATTTCTTGTTTCTCTATAATTTTGTTTCCTTTAAACAGTGTTGAGGCTCCTTTTGTGGCTGGTGGTCTGTTCTACTTCATTGTACATCCGCTCTGTTTGAGGCTTTTATACTTTAGTTTTATTACTTTGTTTTTGGATTTATTTTTGTTTGATTGGTTTTTGAGACAGGGTCTCCCAGCTGGCCGGGAACTCTCTATGTAGACTAGGTTGACCTTAATCTCACAGAGATCTACCTGCCTCTGCCTCATGAGTGCTAGGATTAAAGACATGTGTCATCATGCCTAGCTTTGTTTTGGGATTTGAGACAAGGTTTCGTGTAGCCCAGGCTAGCCTCAAACTCACCTTGTAGCCAAGGATAGCCTTCAACTCCTGATCCTTCTGCCTCTGCCTGCCAAGTGCTGAGACTACAGGTGTAAGCCCCAGGCCTGGCCCTTTTGCTTTCTAAAGTAGCCTACTTGCTGGGTGTACTCACTCATGACTGTAATCTCAATGCATGGAAAGCTGAGACAGGAGGATTGCCTTGAGTTAAAGGGTAACTGGTCTTCATAGGGAGTTGAATTCCAGGACACCCTGGGCTATAAAGTCAGACTGTGTCTCAAACAAAAAGAACAATGATAATACATTTTAAAATAAAATAAGCTTGGGGCTGGAGAGATGGCTCAGCGGTTAAGAACACTGGCTGTTTTTGCAGAAGACCTGGGTTCGAATCCCAGCACCCACGTGGCAGCTAACAACTGTCTATAACTCTAGCTCCACGGGACTGACAGCCTCTTCTGTCCTCTGTGGGCATTGCATGACACAGGTGCATTTACCTACAGGCAGGCAATACATACATACACATAAAAATAATATTTTTTAAAAAATAAAATAAGCTCACTTTAATCAGGTTTCTTTTTGTTTATTTGTTACTTTATTTTCATTTAATTTTGTCAGGTTTATTACCCTCAGGACCACTACATTTAGAATAACATAGTCTTTTATTTTTAGTTGTGTGTACTTGAGTGTATGTCTCTGTGCATGTGAACACAGTCTTCATGGAGGCCAGAGACTTTGACTTTGTCCTGGACCTGGAGCTACAGGTGGTTGTGAACTGCCTGATGTGGGTGCTGGGAGCTGTATTTCCTGTGTTCTATAAGAGCAATAAGTGTTCTTAACCAATGAATCATCTTTCTAGCCCCATAGCTTGGGTGTCTGTGTTCATTTGTGTGGGGGTACATGTGTGCACAGGCATGTGGGGGGGGTACATGTGTGCACAGGCATGTGTGTGGAGGCCAGAGGCTGCCATTTGGTATCTTTCTCAGTGCTTCTTGGCTTTATTTATTGAAGCAGGGTCCCGTGTTGAACCAGGGCTCTGAGCTGCTCGGTCTAGCCAGCCTGCCCTGGGAATCCCATCTGTCCCTGCCAAGTGCCAGGATTACAGGTAGGCCGCCATGTCTGCCTGGCTTTTATATGGGTGCTGGTGGTTCGAACTCTGGTCCTCAGGCTTGCACAGCAAGTGCTTTACCCCGAGCCATCCCCTAGCCCCACTGTGGGGTCTTCAGCATCGCTGACCCTTGTCCTCCGAATGCAGCTCCCCAACATCTGAAGAGGTCCCCGCGGGCCTGGCTTTCCTGGCCGTGTGGTCACCGCCCCTCCTGCTCTGTGCTTTGCCGTTGGCTCTTTGCCATTGGCTCTTTCGTCTCTGGCGTCCGCACTTTTCCAGTCTTCACTGGTCCAGTGTGGCTGGTTCTCATACCGGGCTTCCTTCTAAGAACTGAACAGAACTCCTGGTCCCTTCTCGGTGCTGTTTGCACCTGTCCTTGTCGGGCACCTTGACCTTCCCAGGTTCAGGGCCACCCAGGGTCTGCTCTGCAGCAAGTCCACCTTCTGGAAAGTTCCTGGGGTCTCGGAATCCTTAACTGTGCCAGTACCCGGTTCGCGCCTCTCTCTGGGCAATCGCCACCTTCCTCTGCTCCCGCGGAAACTAGCAGAGCAGCAAGTGTTTAACCGAACAGACCCGTTCTGCTCCGGC